TCGCTGAGTTCATTGCACATCTTGGATTTGCAATGCTGATGATGATTTGACTAGTGTTGTTTGTCTAATAATATAATATAATATAATATTAAATGTGGCTATTCTGTACACATCATTCATTTTAAATCAAGCAAACATTTGAATACAAAATGATGATTATAACATACACATTACATCATCTTTTTAAGTATATGAATTTTTCTTTTCATTATTAAAGCCTGTTAAAATATGTTTGTCAATTATAAAAAATACAATGATAAATACCATGCAGCGCTAAAGATAAAAGATAAAGGAATGATGTTCAGCATGTGTCGATAGGAAGCCAAATATACAGGGACAAAAAGAACAGAGAAACAAGTCCAGACGTAAAGTTAGATGTCAAATTAGAAGATGTAAAACTGTTATTTCTTCCTGCTGTCTGGAAATCTGTCTGCCGGTCTGATGTGGTTTTCTACTTTTCCCCCCAGTCTTGCTATTTATGTTTTGTTTATTTTATTTTCAGCATGTCATGATGACCGAGCAACACATGGCAGAGTTTTACAAGTAGAAGCCTATCTGTTAGAAGTCAGAGGTGCATCAAAGCTTCTTTTTCTTTGCATTATTAAATGCTTTACTCAGAAAATAGTTTTTTTGGGTCCATATTATACAAAAAGATAAATGTGTTCTCTTTTTCATTGTGGTCTCATATCTGCACAATGTTGTACACAATGTGTTAACACAAGGAATGGAGAGACTGAAAAACCCATATTGGAATCAAAGGAATGTATCAACACATTATGCAAGATGTATTGTCAACCCGAGCTTGAATTATTTCCACACACAGCCCGAATTGCAGATGACCCCCAGGTTAGCGCAATTCCAGTTGTTATTGTATCCTTCACATGGGGAAATTATGCATTTCAACATAGTGATAAAGCTTTTTATCAAAACATTTTCATAAATGGTAGCCATTAACATGATGCTACATGTAAATAATGTTGAAAAATTGATCCATAAGCATAATAATGCTGTTCAACTTCCTGTTTAAACCAGAATAAATTACACATTGTGTGTTTCTAAGTAACTGAAGTGAAGTACGACTGCATTAGGCGGCGTTTAGTAATACAGAACATGATGGAAATAGGAGCTTCACTTCCAGCCAGCAACAACAAGGAGAGCATTAACTCGCATATTTTAAATCAACCACCCACCTTGCCCAGCGGGGAGAGAGATTGTTTTGCCCCAAAAACCTTTCTCTCTCTCTTTCTTTCTCTCTCTCCAACTCAAACGGGTTTGCGCTGCTAAGGAGGTAATTATGTGAACGCAGCACAGATAAATGGAGCTGTACCAAATAATCAGAAAGGGAAAACTCATTTCTGGTTGATTTAGATGACTTTTTCTGAAAAGTGTTTACATCCATTGTGCGACAGATCATTTGTTGTTTATGAACTCTTTTCAAAGTACCAAAACACCTTTTCAAACCATTTAAACTTTATAAACTATATTAATATTTTCTGTGGTATCTTTAGTTCTGTTGAATACTGACCTATTGTCTCGCGTGAACTTTCACAACTGTTCTGTCTGCATGCAAATGAAATAGCTTTTTTTAGTATAATGTAGCTATTTAACACTTATTGGAACAGGAAGTTAATTATGTCCTGTGAGATTATCATCTATCTGAGTTGTAGTAGCAGTGAGGAGACCTGGACTGCACTGAGGAATGCTGGAGTCTTAACCTCTATTACTGCTTAACAAGCCACATTACAAGCTGTGGCCGAGGCTCCTTTCCTAATGCTCCCTCTTAAAGCACAACGGGGTTTTCGATATTACACTTGATCATACTTTAATACATTTGACTCTCTCTGCCATGCTGAGGTCTGATCCTGCAGTAGCATATGCAGGCATGCAGATCTGTCATCGAAACACAGGTGCTCATTCGAATTCAGCCTCAAATGTCCATTAAGCATGGTCATACCTTAGTTATTAAAAAAAACAAATGCAAACACAATCAACTAAATGTGCATCTACTACATAAATATTGCACGTCATCTGTGGCCGGGTGGATTTCAGGCAAAGAAAGACAAATGAATGTTCTCCCCATGGAGACTGAAATGTGAGTGCAGCACTTTCTAAACATGTTTTCCCAAAAGGCCCACACAGTGCTGACTTAACAACAGCCGCCAGCCATTCACAAGAGGCTTATTAATAAGGGGATTGTGTTTTGTCAGGTCTGTTGCTGTACTTAATATTTTTTAAATTGGTAGCTTGTCAATCACAGCTTATTTTTGTAGAACCTGCATGAATCTTAATGAGTGTATCAGGTAGCAAATGTAGAGTAACATTTGTTTTCTTCAGTAACTGCTTTTTCAGCATGCCATCTCTTTTCATTCACTTTACTGGTGGTTTATAAGGGCATGGTAATTATTCATAATCATTAGATGCTATTGGGCATCCAACAACACGGCTATTTGTCATAGCTCAAAGTAGCACAGTAACAACTTTTTGCATGCAAATAAGATAAACTCTCCACACACACAGAGTATGCTTGGTTTCAGGCAACAGCATTTCACCACAGAACTCTTCTGTTGTTTCAGCAGTAATGAGGTCTCTAGATCATCATTTTGATTATTATCCCTTGGAGAAATATTCCTACAATATCTAACACAGCAAAAAATGGCTGTTGATAGATTATTGCTGCATGAGCACCGGGCAGTGAAGCAAAATGCTTTGGCAGCAAAATCTCATGAAATTAGCTATTGAAGAATGGGGCGTGAGAGCAGACTTACATGAAGCATGTCGTGAAAACGGCATTTCTTCTGATGGGATTGACTTTGTTTAACTTTCAAAACAGATACACTATAACTTCACCTGTAAAGGGATGAGGTGTAAATGTGTGTGTGTGTGTGTGTGTGTGTGTGTGTGTGTGTGTGTGTGTGTGTGTGTGTGTGTGTGTGTGTGTGTGTGTGTGTGTGTGTGTGTGTGTGTGTGTGTGAGAGGGTGTATGTTTGAGACAGATTGCATCTAATGGTACCTGAGTTATCACTGGAGGAAAAAATGGAAGCAGACGCAGACTATTCTTTGCAATTGAAGATACATGAGGAAAGTGGGTCATTTATGGAGCATATATGTGTGAATCAGTGAAAAAAAAGTGTTGATCTTTATCTGAATAATGATTTAGAGGGTGAAAACGCCCTGCCAGTATAAGTGAGGCCAAATCATAACAGGACTGTCTGTGACCATGCTGATCCAAACTGCAGTTCGCTCTGCAAAATCCCACATAATCAGCACTCAGATCAGCTCTCACTCAGAGAAGAGAGTGGTGCTGTATGACAAGTGTGCAGAAGTGAGTGTCTCTTCTTTTTCGCTCCCATTCCTTCTCAGACTACTCTCAAATGCCTCCAGAGTCCACATGAGACTCAGGTGGATGATGAAACACTCCAGACTGTCATTTAAAAACCCAAACTTTAAAGAGCAAGCCAGGATCAGAGGGATGTGATGAGAGAAAGCTGCTTTTGTTGAAACCAATGTGTCTGAAACAATTGTTAGAAATTAGCAAGTTCATTAAATAGGTAAAAGAAAAAGGAGAGATGTTTTCTTTCAAGTCAGGCACACAAGAATGAATGAAGTCTCTCTCTGAATCCCAAGCTGCTATTTTACACACAGAGACAGAGCAGTTATTTATTTGATGTGTGCTTTCGTCATTCTTGTAAAGCACTCTTCAAAGTCTGTCACCTTAAAAGAGTCAGACTTTGTTCTCTGATGAAATCATCAGACTTCAAGGAGTCAACATTTCAAACGCATGATAAATTGTTACAGTGCAGCAGAGTAAACAGCACATATTCACACATTCAACAACACCTTCTGAATGTGCATTCTCTCCCACTTAAACACGAATACACACCTAACACTACGCCTCACACACACACACACACACACACACACACGCACACGCACATGCGCACACGCACACACACACACACACACACACACACACACACACACACACACACACACACACACACACACACACACACACACACACACACACACACACACAGACACACAGACACACACACACACACACACACAAACCTTTGAAGACAACGTCCAGGTGCTGACGTGAGTATTATTGAATTATTGTCTAGTGTCTGTGTGTATTATGTTGCCCACTTACACTTATATAAGAAGAGACATGGCATTTTAACATAATAAGCAAACATTTGTCTACTCTGTAATACGATTGTTTCACGACCAGTAACAACAGTGCCAGTGTCCTTTTATCTCAGTCTGTTGTTAACACAAAGACATGACCAGGAAAGGATGAGAATTACTCCTGATCTGCGAAACCCTGGAAAGTTTAACAGTTAATAATGATTAGGGTTAAACCAACTCTGACATGCATTGTAGACATGACTGGACATTCACTCAGTCAGTGACTGATCATGGAAATGTGGTCAAATTCATGCAAAATGAGACACTGAAAAAACTGGTTTCTGAACTAGTCTGAACTGGCTTGTTAGAGCTGCCCCTTTGGATCTTTTGGATTCAAATGTTGTGTCTATAGCCCAGACACATTAAGTCATGTAGTTATCCTTAATTAGGTATTACTCAAAGACCGTGTGGTATTAATAACAATTCTTTGCAATTGCCATTTTTTATGGATGTTCGTCTTATTTTGGCAATGTGCACAACCAATGGGGACCCACTCGTAAAAAGCAATTCATAGTGCCACTAGTCGTCAAAAACTAAATTGCAGAATCACACTACATTGCATGCCGTGTTAGTGTAGTTCATCATTAAATGAGTTTCAAAGTTCATTGTAGATGGAGCTTACTCAGTTGGAAGAAAATCAAGCATAGAGGAAAATATCATACTACTAGCTCAGGTAATGTAGCCTGGCTATTCTAATGATAGATCAATTATTAACAAGAACTGGCTTTTATTCCAAGGCATTATAAAATATGTTTTCTCGTCTGACGATATTGTCAAAATACAGATCTAAGTAAATATTGTTGGTTTGACTACAGTGGAGTGCTGTTGCACCTCTCCAACCCTTTCAATTTGAACACCTTCACACCTGGTCTGCTCTCGTCCAGGTAGTCCAGGACTGGGTTGTCATAAGCCAGTTGTGCCTTCCTCTGGGCCGACTCTTCCTGTGTGTTGACAGAGGTCTTCGGTGTTGATATATGCTCCTCTTCTTCTTCTTCTTCTTCTCCCTGTCCCTCCTCGCAACGACAAGCAGTTGCCTTGGTGATGAGGCGATCGAGGGGTTTGAGAGAGCGCATCCACTGGGGCAGGAAGTCCCAGCTCTGCAGCTTAGTGGGCAGGTGGCGAGGAGTACGGGCCTGCATCACATTAATCATGGAGATGAAGATGGTCAAACACAGGAACGGAGCCCCAACGCCGACCATCACTCGCCAGCCTGCCAGCGAGAGGCCCAGAACCAGCGAGGGCAGGAGCACGAAGCACAGGAGGAGGTACAGGACTGCAAACCAGCGGTACTTGGCAGTGCGCTCACCAAGGACACGCGCCATCCTTATGGGCAGGCGCGTGAAGGGGAGAGGATACCACAGCATTATGCCAAAGACGTTGAAGAAGAGGTGACACAGAGCGATCTACATACAAAGACAATGCAAACAGATGCAGTATGTGAGTGCTGAAGATGCCAACATTCATTCCAAATACATAATCCAATGATACCAGATGGTTTTAGAGTTGGCAGTTGAGTCCGAAGGGAGGATTTACCAACAATTGTTTTCCCTGAAGCACATTTAGCTGCCTTCAGCTTATTTGTGCAGAAATAATGTTCATAAATATAGAGACCAGTATTATTATAATGTACCATCTGTAGATGATTATCTGTAACACCGATGGTTTTGTCCGGGTAGGGGAAAAATATATTCTGTGTGTCTATCCTCCTCTCTGTGACGCCTATCAGAATTCATGAAACATTTTTCTTCAAGGTGGGAGGGTGTTGGTAATGGGACCTTCACATTATTGTTTTCATTTCCCTGCAGTTTTTAAAATACCTGTTTTATCCATTGACTGTATAAAATATTGACACAATCTTTGTGATGTACCCCATAGGTTTATGAAAAGCCGTACTGAAGCTCAAAGTGGAAGGGTTGACTTCGCCTGACAACTCTAATAAAAAATGGGCAAAGAGGTGGATAGTCTTTAGAGATTTGTCAACTCACAACCTGTGACAGCACCAATATGTCAAAGCTCTCATGCCCTTACATATAAGTAACTTCAAGCCTTGATTTGATTTAAACCAATGAGATATATCCCTTGTACAGTTAGCAGTAGAGACCTACCGTACTACACTTTAAAACTACTGCACTTTAGAATTGTACTTTTTTGCTGATGGGCATTTTATCATGGGAGCCAATGGAGATGGACTACATTCTTAACCCAGTCTCAAGGACATTTTAGGATATTCATTTTAGGCACTTCCTCTTTGTTTTTTCGGCACAGGAGGCTCCTGCTAGGTTGTACACTGGCTTACCTGTATGGCAGCTGCTAGCTTGTTCCCAGGACTGGCCAGAGCTGCCAGCAGAGCGGTGGCCGTGGTGCCGATGTTGGACCCGAGGGTGAGGGGATAGGCCCGCTCGAGGCTGATCACACCGATACCTGAGGGAGACGACAGAAGAACGCTGTGTCAGAGGAAAAAGGGACTTTCAATTAAGATGAAAAGCTCATAATATATACAAATTAAATAAACGTTACTGTCTATCATATGATGTTAGAACAATGGCTTATGTTAGGGTCTCACAAAACAAAATAAAACATACAACCTTGAAGGACTCCCTTACAAATAGGCCATTTGAACACAAACAACTCCATAAATAAATACCAGCAGATGTGCAAAGCTGCAATAAAGTGTCTATTTTGCCTTTTTGAAGATGGATATTGCAGTCGGAATGAAAGTTTAAGTGATATTTTCTTTTACCCTAGGTGCTCTGAAGCGTTTTTTGAGTTTGTTTTCAATGCATGATACTAGGGGATGGTAAGCCCGAGAGTTGGAGTGCAGGGAAAGCTACATTTAAATAAACGAAGTAAAATAAACAGAATTACCTAATTACATATATCTGAAGGTTGGATGACATCCATGAATATAGTCTTTTGCCTTTTAGTAATTTAAAGCTTCTCAGTTACTCCTGTTTAAAATGAGACATGATTCCCATCTTACATTTATCACTGAGTAGCAGGCCGATGACTCAGACATCACTGATTTGACATGCTTCATTTAGCCAGCGGCATACACTGACAGTTGTGCAATATGTTCTTCCAAACTTCACAGGACTCACAGGACTTATTTCAGTGGAAATAAGCAGGTTTATGTCCTTATTTGGCCCCAGCTGAAACATTAGCTATAAGCTAACAAGAAATCTTAAGATATTCTCTTGACCGTATGAGATGACACTCATTTTAGTTAGCAAATAAGTACAAGAACAATCGGGTAAATCCTCACTCAATGTACAGTTAACAATTTACTATTGCAGCAGTAAATGTCTGTTCAGAGGTTGTGGTGTTTATATTTATAACTTTGTGTAAAAAGCAGTGGCCTTGCAAACAGCAGCCCAGTTTACGAGCTGCTAGATTACAGTGGGGTTTCTTCCTGGTTTGATTGACAGTAAAGGTACATGCTGTTATGGCCGGTCGTTATCTCTCTGGCACAACAACATTAAAACAAAGAATTCACTTGATATTTTTGTTAAATATTAAGTCATTTAACCTCAATCCATCAAACTAAATGACCATCAACGGTAACACTTTATTTTGATAGTCCATAGTTAACACTCTATAAGTCATCTGTTGACATTCAACAACACTGTTTCAACAGACAAGTAACATGCATTTAACTAACTGCCAGTAGAATATAAGGTACATCTCAAGTGTTGATTTATAGATTGTACAAAAAGTCTCTGTGTTTTTTGCAACAGGTTATTAACCAATATTCAACCTTACTATCTGTAGATTGTGTCAACATCTTCAAAATTGACAATCAACTACTCAAAATAAATCTGTCAGTTGAAAGTCAACAGGGTCATGTCGACTATCTGTTGATAATCTGTTGAGAGTCAAGATGTCAACTAAAGATTACATTACTAAGTCATTAAGCATTAGTTGATGATCAACAGATAAGCAACTTTAGAGTTTAGTTGACTATCTGTTGATTGTCAACTAATCTAGAATTGACTATCAGTATACTTTTAGTAGGCATTCTCCACTAAGCGTTTGTAGGCATGTGATAGGACTATCCAATTAAAGTGAAAAACAGTTGAGAACAGTAGAAGTAGTAGTAGTCACTTAGTAGTCCTTTAGTAGGATTGAATGTGGTTCACAACTGTTCAGTGTTTTTACTTGTAGTATATTATTAAAATAAAAAAGGTTTCTTTCTCTGATATGCTGCATATAGTGTGTGTTCTACTGTGCTTTATAGCCTGGCATTGACTTCAGTTATCCAGTGTTCGTGATCAGTTGTGCAAAAGATTTCGCTTTATTCCCATGTCTGTTGCATATAATTAGTGGATGAATGTATGTGTTCTGTTGATAGGTTATAGACTTTCTACTGTTCTCAACTGTTTTTCACTTTAATTGGATAGTCCTAACACATGCCTACAAACGCTTAGTGGAGAACCTACTAAAAGTATACTCATAGTCAACTCTAGATTAGTTGACAGTCAACAGATAGTCAACTAAACTCTAAAGTTGCTTATCTGTTGATCATCAACTAATGCTTAAAGTAATAGTCAACTGAACTTTAGTTGCTTATCTGTTGATCGTCAACTAATGCTTAGTTACTTGTCGGTTTGAACGGTGCTGTTGAATGTCAACTGATACATGTCAACTGGTGCACTGTTGACATGCTACTAAATGTCAACTGATGACTTATAGAGTGTTAACTATGGACTATCAAAATAAAGTGTTACCCTATCAACTAATACTAGAAGCAGAGTCCAGGACAGTATCATCATTGAGAGTCTTTTATGCACAGTGCCGAACTATTGGAGAATAAGATCTGAAACTCGGACAGTTAGGATCCATTTTAATAAGATGATTAACAAGAGACTTTCTGTAACAAATGAGACACAACTTGAAGAAGAAACTCCAACCTTCAAACTAGGTAGAAGCTGGGATCGGCCCTGGACTTTAAAGCCCAGTTTATCCAAGCCTACAGGAAAAGTACTTTGTATGATGGTATATATAATGTGTTTTGTGTTTTGTAATCCAATTGTCTACAGAGCAATATCCTTTAATCCTACGCACAGGAGGCACATATGCATAATGTGTCCCGCTGGCATTAGTCACATTACCATTGTTTAACTATACTATATACTCACAAAGAACATGTAAATGAAAGACTGAAGTGTATAAAGAATAAGAAAAATCAATACAATGATATGAGAATTATAAAGTTACTCATTTAGATTTTGCATATGCTGACGTAGAACCACAAATTACCCGTCAGGATGCTACAATTAAATTGATTATAATTCATAATACTCATTGCATCCATTTATTCATCATCCTTCAAAGCAACATCTGTCAGTTTGCTTACAATTAAAGCATTGTGTTGATTGATGTCATCATACGTTTGATATGTCTAATACAGGAAAATAACAGAAAATACTATAAAATTCTGTAAGTATGGCTATATCGAAGACCTCATAGTGGGGTTTTTTACACATTTCTAATATATATTTAATATTTATTTATTTTGAGGGAACATATATATTCATGGTTCACGGCTCATTTAATCCATTTCAAATGGACGGCCAATAATTGCTATATTAACCCACACACATAGTTTCTTCTATGCTCTACTTATTTTCACAATAACCTTTTATTTTTTAATGATATTTTCACATAATATAGTATAAACAAACAACTCTGAGGCTTTCATTGGTGGTGCAAAATCTTATTTCACCCACCTATAAGAGGAGTCAAGGCTGAAGTGAAGACAGAGCTACTCTGGACCACAAACGTTATCCCTGCGCCCACAAACATGGCCATGTATCCTGACAGCCACCCACACGGATATGGCAGGTCTGTTGAGATAAAGAACGGAGGGATGGCAATTACCCACGATAAACACATCAATATTAGTCTTCTCCACCACCTCTCTCATGTCAAAAGCATGCCCACCTGTGTTGATGACTTTGTGGATGACCTTTGCGACCTGGCCTTTAAGAAGAGAGTTGAGCAGTTTGACCAGAAGCAGCAGACAGGTGCAGAGGACGGCCAGAGAGCCTGCGAGGAGGATCAGACCCACGGTGAGGTCTGACAGCCCCGTGGACACAAACAGATGCTTACCTGCAGGAGGACAGGTCCAACAAACATCAATAGATTATTACAAAAACACACAGTTGTATTGCCTTCTTAACAGGGAAGTACTGAAAGGGAAATGCTTACTAGAAAAACATTACAATAATGAGAGAACTCACATTTCAGTGGTGATTGGGATAAGTCATGCCTGGAGCCACAGTTTGCAGTGCTCACATTGCCAGTGGACTGTAGACGGAAAGAAAGAAAGAAAGAAAGAAAGAAAGAAAGTGATGAAAACACAAATTAGCAACACAGTTTTCACTGGCAGCAGTGTCAGTCTGTATGTGGCGCTACTGTGTGACACATTGTGTCTGCATGTGCATGGGACAGCAGTGGAGATGGGGCCATTACCATAACCAGGTCAGTCTGGCACCATTCTTTCACCAGGCTCCTGTTCCTCATGTCCTCATTTCCCATGGCGATTCCCATGACCACACACTTGTCTAGCTGAGGGAGAAAGGAGAAATATTTTCCATCTTTTAAATTCTGTGAGTCAAAGGAAAGCAACATTTATTATTCATCCACCAATCCTTCAGTCCTTCAAGGAGACACCTTACATCTAGTTCCCATCACAGCTGTCTGAGGCACTGTTTGTTAAACTTCGCCCGCCATACAGTAGTTACTTCTGAGATGTCCATTAAACTTTTCCAGCATCACCCAGAACATAATAACAATAAAAACAGCGTCAGAGTCACTGCTCAGAATTCGTAGAAATGTTGAAAGAATGGTTTCTTGATGTAAGACAAAGGAAGCCTCTGATTTCTAGCTGGCAAATAAAGAATTTGCAAACAAAAAGTGTTTCAAACAGACAGTGTTTCCAGCTGCCCTTTTTGTGTTTCCAGCACACCTGTTTTAAAATGATAATTTTGTGAGAGACAGCTTTAATACAAACTTGCTGCGTGTCCCTGGCGGAAAGTGAATTATGCTCTGTGTAGTAGCCATATAGAAACAAATGTGTTTATGGCATTATATCTGCAGAGTGTAAAAATGTAGCCTCAGTCTTGCTGGACCTTTTCTCTTTAAATATTACAACTGTATGAATAGATCTCAAGGAACATTTTGAGCAACGCAACATTGCTGGGGTTGATTGTTCACGTCCCCAAGTTCCCCAAAGAGCAGGTTAACTATCGCCCAAACTCTGCAGCATCCGGGATCGGCTTGGGGGAATACTACACAGTGAATGTACTGTAAATGTGACTTTTATGTATGACGTAACCTGTAACCCACATACTAATGTAATGATGTGCTCATTGACCCGATAAGCCCTCTGATAGGCCGACTACTTTAGGCAGTAAGCTAGCCAGCTAGACATGTTAATGATTGCACCACGCATTAGCGCAAAGAAAGGGTTTAGAACATTCCATACACTTATGAATTGTGTCTTTGGTTTTGAAAAATACTCTATTATCCAAAATCTTCAAATATCGCTCTCACTGCGAAAATCCAAAGACTGAAGACCTGCCATGACTAGGTCAATTAAACTAAGATTTGCTGTTTAGGGGAGGGGTTTAGCAAATGGTTAATCACAAAAGCTGACTGGCTGATAGTTACCTGTATGATGAGCTTGGTGACTGGCTCAGTGATAACTTTGAGCAGCTCAGGTGCTTCCTCTCCGGGATGCAGCTTGAAGCTGGAGACCAGCAGGAGAGACAGCTTGGTGATGAAGCCGCTCGCCACCTCCAGCGGCAGCAGGACCAGCACCGACAGCCAGTTGAAGCAGTCGTGGATCGTTGCCCCAGCAAAGGCACTGCAGTGGGTCACAATCATTGTCTGTGTTAACTAAGGTCAGCCATTAACATGATCAACCACTCAAAATGATTGCTTGTTAATCTGCTTTTCATGGGTCAAGTGTTTTATATGTGGATGATGTAATGTGCAGTTTAGTTTTGACTCATTGAGTTAGTAAATTATGAATGTTTAATCAATTATATTTATTTTTACCAGACACAGATTAAAATACATGCCATCTGTGCAGTGCCGTATATTTTCATGCCAAAAAGATACTGGCGGAGTCAATGTGTGTTGGTGCCATTATTGTCACTCTTATAAATTATACTTAAACGGAGGCTGAAGCAAAGAGGCAGCAGGCAGCTGCTAATGCTTTCTCTTAACCCTCCTCTGCTTTCTCCTCTGCACTTTCAACACTTTTATCAATCTTCCTCCATCTCCCTACTTATCCTCTTCACTTTTCCATTTCAATGTCTTATTCCCTGCTCTTCAGCTTCTCCTGCACTCATGCTGTGCCTCGCCACCTTTCTCCACTCACCGCTCAAACTCATTCCTCTCTGCTGCTTGCATCATGGCCACCAGGGTGTTCGTGACTGAGGTCCCAATGTTGGACCCCATGATGATTGGAACAGCAGACCTCACCTCAAGCACTGTGGGGTGAAACCACGAAGAACAACACATTTCACTCGAACAATATAACATTTATGATGGATAAATGTATGGCATCATTATGAATGATAGTGTGTCACATAATTATAAGCAGTGACTTCCCGTCATTCAGAATGATACATGAGGTGACATTAATTTGAAGGGGAGTGGAGGCAGCTTAACCCACTCTGCAGGGGGGTTCATTGTTGAGAATACCTTTAATGATGATGACCTACAACAGCATGCTCACACACACACACACACACACACACACACACACACACACACACACACACACACACACACACACACACACACACACACACACACACACACACACACACACACACACACACACACACACACACACACACACAATTCCATGCGTTTGCATCTCTTTGATAATTACCTATATTCTCTGAGTTCTTTGAAAGGCAGCTCATGCATACTGCAATCATTCTCTGTTAACAACAACAAGACCTTATAGCCTGCACTCGTTAGATAAAGACAGGCTGTCACCTCACCATGTCACTGTTTTTTGACTCAAGATAAACTAGAATTAATGAGAAGGTGGGGGGGATTAAAGGGTGTGAAATGTATTGATTTCATTATCCCTTGGATCCCATTCCAATCTACTAGATTACATGAATTCCCAGATGTTTTTCGCAAATGGTTATCACAGTACTACAATCTAAAATATCGATGAAGACATTTTCTATTATTCGTTTAATCCCATGGAAAGATAAAACTGTTAATACATGTATTCACCAACAAGTATTTTCTGTTCAGTCTTATGTACGACCTTGTGTTTTATAGAATTAATATAAAGAAACTCAAAACTATTAAACTAATAAGACACAATGTTGCTGACATGTTCCCTTCATTAAGATGCTAAGGGCATGCAGTTTATTTTAAGTCAGTCCCACATACACCATCTTGCTGCCAGAAATAGTCACAAAAATAACAAACATGTTTATATTCACAGCTGAAAATAGTCCTCAACCAACGCTGTATTTACTTCTGTGTGAGTTCAGTTTCCTAGAAAAGTTGAGGGCCCCAGTGCACTCAGAAAATGATTTACATTTTGTATTTCACCTATTTTGTATTTGACCAACGCTATAATATGTTTGCTAATTGTAACTTAATGCATAGCATACTTACATGTCTAATCTTATTTGAATCCGTAAATAAAATCATTTTGCTACATGGCAGCTCACCAGGGCTGGAATCTAAGTGAGTACATTTACTTGATTATTGAACAGAAGTACATATTTGATGTACTTATATGTACTTTTATATTTTATTTGTGTGCACCCTTTATATTTCCCCTACATCTCAGAGCGAATGCTGTACTTTTTACCCCATTGCATTTTGCGACAGCTTTCATGAGTACAGTAATTTACAGATTACACTTTCTCTGAGGTCATGTAAAGTAAACTGTCAGTCATACATGGTTCTCACACAGCGCAGTGAGGAAGCTTCAAATAAATGATTTTTTAGAATATGATGCATTTCTATAGAAAGAAGCAGTAATACAAATCAAAATACAAAAAATAAGGTTATTTCAGTATATGCTGTTGCTAATATGTTTAATTAAAGGTCACCTATTGTGCAAAATCCACTTTTTCACGTATTTTATACATAAACATGTGTCCCCTCTGTGTAAAGAGATTCTGAAAGCTTCAGGAAAAAAGATTCGCTCACTTTTTGTCCTGACTTTTTGTGTAACCATTAGCCAATCACCAACCAAGGTAACTGCCGCCCACCTTATCACCTGCATCTCCTAGAGCACCATAGTGTTCTTTTTAAACCAAATATCTCCCAGAGGGGCGTGGGGAGTGGCCCCTTATTTTCATCTAAAGCTACAGACACAGAATCAGCACTTTTTGAAACAGGGCGGAAACAGAGGGGTTTATGGGATGCTACAATGCATGATCTGTTTGGTATTTCCAGCCAAACACTTCAGAGACATGTTTTGTATATATCTGAGACCTATAATATATTGATGAAAAACAGTATAATAGGGGACCTTTAAGTAAGGTTTGAAATGGAGGATTTTTAGGAGAACATTTTCCCAGTGTGGTATTAGTTCTCTCTGCAATGTTATGCTCCTACTCACATCCCGAGGCCACCAGACTGACGACAATGGAGGTGGAGGTGGATGAACTCTGGACGAGCACGGTGACCAGGATCCCCACCACCAGCCCTGCCACGGGGTTGGACAGCACAGCATTGTCCTGGAAAATGTCCCCTGCGACTTTACCTGTTTAAATATGCGAAACACATAGAGATACAGACATGCTGTTCTCGGACATGACATGTTAGCCAAGAGCAATGTTAAATAAGATTCTAACTGCATGTTTCTGCAAATCCTAAAAGGTCACCAGTTGCAGCTCTGCAGTAAATTATACAGCAGGACCAACTGCTCAGTGACTCACTTATTTGGCAGACATCAGCAGGGGGAGTCACTTTAAACCCAATGAGAGGCTACTGAGGGTTATGGTACTTACCACCTGCTAAATGGAAGGCAGAGCTCAGAGTGTCCAAGGAGCAAACAAAGAGGAAGAGGAGGATGAGGAGGAGAGGGATCTTGGAAAGATTGATGAGGAGCTGTGGGATCGTGTTGGAAGTCACTGCTGTGGTCTGTGAAGAGCTTTCTGTTTAAACCACAACAATAAAAACAAGGAGATGGCTAAGCCTGTATGTCTAACCAACAGAAAGTTATCAAAATATATCACAGATACGTCACAGGTCATTTGAAGCAATTCCATTTCTTTAATCTCTCTCCTAGCTTTCCTACAGAAGTTATTTAGAAGCACAGAGGCAGCTCTTGCATACTGACATTGTTCACTTAAGACACTTAACCCAAATAGGACCTCAGAGACCGCGCTCATTCGAAACAGACAGGTCATAACCCCACCGTGTAATGCTCTTATGAGGCAAGATAAACTAGACTGACTGATATGGTGGGAGGTTACACACACATTAAAGAGGGGAAAGGTTGCAATGACGTGTCCCCTTCGTTAGGAAGAGCACACTTTAGTGTATTTTGAGTCAATCCCACATGCACCACCAGCTACCAAAAGCACTCAAGGTTTTGGTGTTTTGCAGAATTTGTTAACAGTAAGATCAATATAGAACGACACCAGCCTTATCCTATGATTAAGTATAGACAGAAGTGGGAGAAGTACTCAGATCAGTGTATAAATACTCTGTTACAAGTACAAGTCCTGCATTCAAAATGGTAATCAAGTAAAAGTATAAAAGTGTTGGCATCAAATAAACTTAAAATACCAAAAGTAAAAGTACCTATTATGCAGATTGGCACATTTTAGTATATGTTTTTCTTATAATTATTGATGTATTATGTGTTTATCAAAGCTGGTAAAGGTGCAGCTAGTTCAAATTACTTTGTATACTGCAGGGTAGCTTGTGAATGTTACTCGGGGTGTAACTAAAGTCTTAATTAAGTGTTGATTATATTTCACATCAAAAATCCAAAGTAACTAAAGGTATTAAATAAATGCAGTGGAGTAAAAGTACACCATTTACCTCTGAATTATAGTGGAGTAGAAGAAATATTGAAATACTCAAGTAAAGTACAACATTGTACTTATGTACAGTACTTGAGTAAATTTACTATAACTTTACACCACTAAGTATAGCTTAATTTACCTGATGACATTGTTCTGTATAAGAAAGATCGCATTAGCAAGACATTTCACGTAGCTAAAGAGATCAAAGTCGTCTGAAGAACTACATTACCCAGCAAAATGCTGCTGAGGGACATCAGGACTTTGTCTTTGTTGCCCAGACTGTGTGATCCCACTGGCCCTGTGTGTGTTTTTCGAGCATGTCCTTATCCATTGAGCATGTGGTTTGGATTCTGCTGTTGTTATTTGCCTTTTCAAAGACATCAGACCTGCTGCCGTGCCAGGAAATGATTCTTCTTTTCATGCTGCTTTTGTACCTTTCTCTATATCGAGTCTATCTTCCTCCCTGGGTGAAACACCGCTGGTTTGGTGTTTGGTATGTTGGTTGTGGATCTCAAAGCTGCTGCTGCTGAGGTCAAGAGTGGACCCGATGCCAGACTCCCTGTCCTCCTCCTGCAGGAGTTTGGGCTGTGAGGAGAGCTGAGTCCCTTGTATCATCAACCCTGATAATGAATAACAAGAGGATGCACTCAGGTGGGGAAGATCAGCTTTGCATTTCAAAGTCATAAAAAAACAGAATGCTGGGAATTGAAACTAATAAGTTACCATGGCAGTTGATCCCTTGTTTCCGACCAGAGGACACTATTGTTATAGATCGAGATGACATGGTGCATTGAATGCTGTGTAGAAATATGGAAGCAATTACAATCACAGCATGAAATGGTTGTTAAGGGAACAGATATGAGAGTCTATGTGTTTAACAGCCTGCAGCAGGAAACATAGGCCAAAGGAGACCAATATGTCTCAAGCCTGTGAGTCTCTCACTTTGCTACTGTAGACCACAAACAAGCAATTAAAACAAAGGCGGCCCACAGTGTGTGTAATTGGTTTTGAGATCAAATCACACTTAAACTTCACACACTGAGAGGCACCATCTAGACTATCAAACACCTGAACTAAGAACATCCATAACATTCACCTGTTTGCAACTTACACATTATTTATCACTTGTATATAGACTCTTATGGCACTACTTCTATTCTATTTTATTGTATTTACTATTTTATCTGTTTTATTGTGTTGCACTGTTCGAGGAGCCTGTGACCTAAGATTGTCATCGACATAACTACACTGTAGCTATGTACGAATGACAATAAAAGCCTTGAATCTTGAATCTTGAGTCATCTCTCTCAACAAACTAACACCTTGTCAGAATCAATAAGGTCACATCTGTATCCATGTTGCTTATCTTCCCTTCGTTTTCTGCAGCTGCAAGTCAGCTCTAAAGAGACTCTCCTCTGTATGGAGCAGCAACTAAAAGATAACCACGCTCTCGGCTTACAGAGAACTGTTTTTCCCCTTTCATTTCAGCCACTTTGCCATATTTTGGGGACTCCAGCGGAGGAGGGAGTACTAAAGTTGTCTGAATATCAATCTAATGTGTCTCTGTAAAGCAAAGAGGATGGAAGTGAGTTGAGTAATTACAGCAGTGGAAATTACAGTAATTACCGTCGCTACATCTTTCTTGTTCTGTGTGGCATCCTCCTGCTGATTCTGATGTGAACAAGTTAGCACGTCTATCTGTATGTGGGAGTACGTGAGACAAGTTCCATAGATTGCAGCTCAATCCTCCCTGAATGTACGTTGGTGATTCTGTGGAGTGAAGGCTTTAATCTACTCTGCCTTTGTCTACTCTCTCAGTTTCCCTGTTTTTGTACTTTTGGTGAGTTTGCCTTCAAGTCACTGTGACTCACATTTATATGTCTATGCTTTTCATGTTTTGCCTAAATGTTTCTTCTTTAGTTCTAAATGAAGCGGGGGTAAAGAAAAAGGATGAATCAAACATTTAGTAACAGTTGTCACTCAGCTTGCCGGATGCTTGCGCTCTTGATGCCCTAGCTGTAGAAAGATGTCCAGAGATTTGCAATTAAAAAATCATTTATTTCAAATAATATAGAAAGCTTTAGAGCAGTATTGATTCAAAATGATTTTACTTATCAAAAGATGATTTTGACATATGAAGTTAGTACCTTACCTTGTCTGAAACCGTCCTAGGTGTTGTGTTCGACCCCCTGAGAAGGAAAGTATCAACCTGAAGAATAAAACCTCTTTAAATAAGCCACCAGTTAACACCTCATCCCTTAACTTGCTCCCTCATCAGAGACCTCATTGTTAATCAATAACACAAAGCCTAACTAATGATGCATGCGTTTGGAAAACACATTGTATATTAGGTGATGAATGATGTGTGTTCAACCATCTATTTTTCACCTGATTTGGGGCTGGATAAAGTATCCAAGATGAAGAGGACTGTTTTGTCGGATTAATGATGCTTGTCGCTTGAGGTTCTTCTGTATTCCTGTGTAAAAAGTAGGAGAAATCTGACACCTAGTGGTAAATGTTGGAAGAAAAGTACCGATTTTGCACTGCCTCTGTAGTCCGCTCACACTGTGGTTTTTGAATAAGGTAAAGCCAAGGTATTAAATGATCATTCCTTGCATGAGATAAGTCAGTGGAAGTATGGCAAACATGTGCGATGTACATGACTTTTGCAGAATGTTCAGATGCTTAGGCACCATGATGTGATTGAAAATGAACCATAGGGGAGAATTTCTGAGATCCTCCTTAACACACACGTACACACATTTACTTACACACCCCACTACCCACAGACAATGTCCTCCTCACCAAGGGAGAAGGCCGTGATGGCCTGAATAACAGGGTAATTGTTAACAATTAGTGGATTCTGTCACATCAGCAGTGCTCTCACCCGAATCTGCTGACCTCAGACTTGCATCCATGAACTCAGGGCAGCAGAAAATGAATAACCAACTAGACTAGAGTTGTTACTTTGTAAACTGCTGGGTGCCAGGGAGAGATAACAGCTCTGTTGTGTTGCAGGCAGCTGGACTCGAGCCGAGGCTGCTGTCAATGGGCGAAGGGATCAATCCTTCAGATGTGGTGCCGCATTGAGCAGCGAAAAGAGACGCAGAGACACTCGTTCACATATGGAACATGTTATCACTTACACACACATGGATACATCTCTGGCACGACTCCAGATATTTTGGGTAACTCCCTGTGATGCTGCTAATTCCCTCTCCAGATGTGCAAGCCCCAGGGATGTTGCTGCTCAGCCTGGAGTTAAAGAGGTCACCGGGTCATCATACAACTACCTGCCACTCAAAAACACCTCACTTAATGAGCTGGAACCTGCAGGTGCACACTGTGGGTCCTCTCTCTTCGGTTTATGATCATAGTTATATTGCATAACGTTACACTGAGGGATACAGTACATGTGATGCTTTAAGTTGGATTGCAATCTATCTTTGAAATAAAGGTAATCTGCCAACTCATTATTCACGGCTATTGCAGGTGGACATCCACATGCTGTATATGTCTGAATTTGAAGATATGATTATTTTTGACCACTGTTATTATTAGTAATGTCTTGGCTTTGTAACATGATGTAACTGTAGCAATAATTCATGCCCTTCATTATCACAATTGAATTGTATTATATTTATATTACTATAAAGAAATAAATAAAGTGGATTGGATACCGTTATCAATTTGAGAAAAGTTATAATGACATTTTTAGCTCAACAAGGAACATCACATTTTGGCATTTTTGTCTAAGAAGTCTATCACATAAAACTCAACCCTTAACTGAAGCAGCATATTTTGCCAGCTTATTGCAAAAGTAACAGTAGGAAGTAGGAAGTAGAAATACTGAAATGTTAATGTTCCAACCACCTTCTCATACAATTCACTCACTCCCCTTACCTGCTCTACTCACATACAGCTTGTTCGATCATTAGTCCCTCAGTAAGGCTTATCCCCTTAACTAATGAAAGATGGTATTACTTTAATCTGATTCTGTTTGAACACACTGAAGTAAAGTCATTTCTCATTCGGTCACTTGGTCCCTGCAAACTCCGTTTTGATCTGACCCCTTTTGACTGTGTTGTTTGGATCTTATCCTCAAATGTGGATAATTGACCATGTCTAAAAACTGTAAGCCAAAGTAAACTGAACTTTCCCTGTGACATGAATGTGTCATCACCTTTGGGCCAGTGTCACGGGCCAGACTGGTTCAAAACGGGAAATCTCCAAATTGCCGTTATGGTTTTCTCCTCCGAACATCTGAATTTGAATTTGTGTTGTTCCTGGTTTAGGTACGAACTAATTCTTACACATAAACACTAAAGCAGATGTGCAAAAGCAGTTTTACAAACATGTTTAAACCCCTCTCAGCTCTCACTCCACTTTTTCATTACATTAAGACATTAGATAGTCTATGCTGCTTTTTGAACCTGCAGTCATCAGTACGGCATCCATTGTTAATGATGTGAATAAGTGCAGAGTAATGACGGCTTCACTCAACAGCATCAATTTATTGTCAATACACATTCAGTTGGTATGTATACGACACTCAAAGTACAATGAAACAGCATTATCACAGGTTTTACAAGCAAGTGTTTCAGTGTGCGTGAGTTTGTGTGTGAGTTCGAATAACTATTTTTAGTTTAGTTTCATTCAATCAATCAAATTCATTGCTTGGGTGTTTTATCATTTAGTTCACTGTTCTTTTTTACAATGTTGTACGTTTGTCTGTGTCCATATGATAATGTGTATGTAAGTTATGTTTATGATTATCTTGTAACTTGATGGTTATGTCCTTCCATTAATCACTTCAGCTCTTCCATGGAGGATGACGGCGTGTCAGAGCCGTCAGGACACTCCTGAAAAACACGTGAAAGAAAATACAGCTTGCATTTTCAAGTATGGATTCCTGGGTTTTTAAATAGTGAAATACAAATAAGTACGTAACAGCATTCGTATGTGCACAGCTCACCTTCACTTTCTCCAGCTCTGGTCTGCCTGGGAGGGACTTTTGTGAGGAAAAGGCCTGTGAGGTGAGACAGGTTAATCACATTATATCTGATGGGTATAAGTAATCTGAAAGTGTGCATGTAAATAAAATGAGAACAAGGATTGAAAGATGTTTGAATGTCAGATTTGTTCTTCTCACCTTCCTCGTCTGTTGCATCTCCTCTGTGGACTTTGACCTGTTTTTCATGTGCTTCTGAGGGGAGGTGGTGCTGGGACACTAGAAAGAAAGAGTCATATTAGACACGGCCGAGTGACTCAAAACAAATTGTCTATCAGGCTTTCACACACCTCGTTTGACTTCTGTTCCATGGCTGGCTCTAGATTCTTTAGGAAAAGATCTGTGCTGATTTAGAATAAGATGATATCTTTTGAATACCTTGGTTGTGCAACTGTAAAGACAAGAGAAAGAAGAGGTACTTTACATGTGGTTATATGCAACAACAATGGTTAAAAGTAAGACAGTTTACAATAATTATTTAGTTTACTTGTTATAATCTGATCCAAAAGGCTTAACTGATCCCTGATTTTGCTATCCTGAGGGGCCGCATGAAAGATTATACGACACATCTGCAGTTATGGCCTGTTATCACTAGATGGCGACTAAGAAACATACTGCTGCTCCCACTTCACTTGACTGATGTAAATATTTAGCTGGGAGACTTTCCTCAGGGGCTTTACCACGGAGTTTACCAATTGTTCACACACACTCTGCTGCTTCTCATTTTGCAAAAACAAAACAAAACATTACTGGGGTTTTTTTCAGGATTACATTTAACC